ATATATATATATATATATATATATATATATATATATATATATATATTGCATTTATCCACTATTATCGCTCAGATATAATAATACTATATATTATTAAAGCCGCACAAGAATCTATCTTCGTGTACACCTAATGTAACAGTATACACATAATTATATAATTTACCTGTTTGATATGCCTGATAACCATAGTAAAATCTATACATTGATCCAGAAATGGATGTTCACATGTAAACTATTGAAATTAAATTAATTAAATTAAAACACAATGACTTGATTGTCTGTAAAATAATCGAACACGAAACTCTTATTAAATTAATAGTACGATCATAATTTGACTAATACGCGTAGAAGTATAATTAGAAATACCAATGCAATATTTTTATCCAGTATAATAGGTGTATAATCTATATTTTTTCGAAATAAATCGATAAATCTTATGCTTTCCAATTATATTAGAATACATCTTTAGTAATTCTAAAATTATTTTATGTATTGTAATTTAAATTGTATTAAATCTACTATTTAATACGTATTTTTCGAAAATGTAAAAAAGAATGTCTTACTCACCGTTAATAGTTTAGACGGAGAAAGAGAGAGAGAGAGAGAGAGTAAAAGTTATTTTATAAATTTTCATAATATGTTTGAGTGCAAAATGTTTTGGAAAAAGAAATATGAGAATAAAATCGAATGGTACCTTATTCAATTCAAGTAATATTAAATTTATTGAACGATCTTTCATTTATTTTAATTATAAATGATAATATATATATATATATATATATATCAATTGCGTATTTGTTCAAGCTAAAAATAAAGTTCTATTATTATTTTATAACATAATATATGTCAAATACATATATCGTGCACGTAAAAGGCTATACGTCGCCGATCGTTATATTCTCGAATGTACCCGTCTTTTATCGTCGCGACAAGACCGAGCCAACAAACAAAAACAGACCCGACAAGTCGGTGGTGTGACGGCTTTTTCGCGTTCGTCCGCATTGATTGGCCCAGTAGTATAACTAAAACTACACAGATTTTTGCACCAAACAGTTGAGACTAATCAACTATGGTAATATTGACTATAATATTCTTAGCCATTTACCATGTCAAAATTATTTTTTTCCGTGTAAGTGCATAGTTTCCAGAACGTTTCTGGAGAACGTTAGCGCGCACTGCACAGTCTTCAGGCTCATCGCCGACGGAAAGTCTACCGATCTCGGTGTTGATCGCACGTGTCTTCAGCACGGCCGCGTGGGCGCAACCGCACGAACATTAGATCGTATTTTCATTATATTCATGTTCACCACCGCGGTACTTGTGTTTTGCTATCGTTATTTCTAGTCTTACAATATTGTTTGTAAAACATTTATGCACATATATTATTATTATTATTATTATTGATCTATTGTGTGTGTGGGCCGCTGTTATAATATTATTCGCCGTTACTAAGTTTTTATTTTATTCTTATCGTACATTTTGAATTATAGCATATAGCAGGGATGAATAAATGGCGGCACGCGGCATTTTTTCTCTTTTCAAATTACATCATACAATCTCGAAGTTTATCGTTCATACTCCATCTTATCGATGTAATAATTGTTAAATGTCTAAACGTCATATGTTACGTATAGTCTTGTAATACTTTCTAATACGTATTGTCTATACGTATAGCTTTCAAACATAGCTGTTTGTACCGAACTATTTAACTATATCAGTTTCTTCGTATCATTCATGTCGTGCTGCCGTGCGCGTTGAATTTATTATTTCGTTGTATATAAATGCTAGTTTAATTCATATTTTGAATGACCTTTTTTTTTCCTATGCTTTAGCTCGCTGGATTTTAATTTTCTACAAATTGGCCCTCTAGTAACTTTGAGTTGTCCATCACAGGTGTACAGTACATGGGTTATAAATCACGTATTGTTTTTGTGTTAGTCACCCCTTTCCCGAAGGTTTGATTGTGATAGCGACGGGTGACGCTGTTAAATAAAATCACAATTAAATGTACGCCGTCCATTCCACAATCTGGGTGAATGTTAGTTAGGCGGTGGTACAATATATATTTATATAATTTTGTTCAATTTTAAAAAAAGCATACATGGTCCTCATAGCCGAATAAAATAAATATTTATAAAAGTACGTAAATGCTCATTCAAATCGTACAATTGTTAATGCAGCTATTATTCTGATTACTTTTGGTATTTCTTTAGATGTTATTATAAAAATTAAAAACTTGCACTTCGTTAGCTATAAAAAAAACTTGAATACATGGGTAATTTATTAAAAAAATATATCCTTATACATTTTTTATAGGTACTATATTAAATATTGTATATAATGCTATAGAATTTAATTAGTACTATGCACCTACTCGTATGTATATGTAATTGTTTAGTAATGAATGTTTTTTTTTTGGCTATACTAATGTGAAATCATTTTATGAAACCCAATTATACAGTACAACACAAATAATGATTGTAGGCTATGAATACGACATATAATTCATGTATGTATTAACACATCTATCTAATCTAGAGGTAAAACACATTGTTATTAATATTATTTGTTCATTGTTTGGAACGTTGTTTTTAATAAAATCTGCGTGTGCATATTTCATACCCAACGAATATAAACTTAAACATCACTGTATTTTATTACAAATTATACCTAATATTATACAATTCAATTGCGTTGTCTAGTACAGCTTTTGGAAACCTTTTTGAATAATTATTAGACAACAACTATAATTTCGATTAACAGTTGTAGCTTTTTTAGAAAAGTTTATTTATTTTATTTATTTTTAATTGTTGAATAAATTGTATTAAGTTATAATATTACGAACACATACAACAAGTATTTGACATCATTTTGCAAAATCAAGGAACCAAATTAAAAGTACATCAGACTGTCGACGAAATCAAATCAATCTTCAAGTGTTTATCGACAACGTGAAGTCTCCTGGGTCGTCGAAAAACTGGTTAATCAGCCATTTATACTAATATTATAAAGCTGAAGAGTTTGTTTGGTTGAACGCGCTAATCTCAGGAACTACTGGTTTGAATTAAAAAATTGAAACAATTCTGGTTTAGCAATCTATCGATTTTTTAATTTTTTTTTTAAATGTGTGTTTAGAATTAAGATAATCTATTTTCTTCTTCTTTTTACTTATTACAAGTATAATTATTATAATTATAAAGTTAATATAGTTATGTTCAGTAATGTGTATAGAACATTTGTACATCATACTCTCTTTTAAATTATTTTTATATATATTTTATACTATACAATTCATATGATACATCGTAAAGATTATTAAATCTTAGAAAAATTAATATAATATAATTATTGTGTATATAAAATCGGGAATCGTATTTTTTTTTTTTTTTTTTATAAATTGAAAACAATACCTATTTTTTATTAATATACTATAAATATTTCTGTTCAAAGCTATGCGACACAGTATAGTTATAATACCCAACCGATCACAAGACAATTATAGTTATATAGCGAGTTTATTTGTGAATACGAGTAATGTTAAATAATGACATCCTAACATATAATTCGGATGGTTCAGGTAAGATTTTTTTTTTTCTTATTTACCAATTCAATTAGTGCACCAAAACAATTTTTCGGTTTTCGGTTCAACACCTTACGACATGTACTTGTATCTAAAGGGATCGGAGCAGGACTACATTTAGGGGGGAGCAGTGGCTACAACTGCTCCGGGTACCAGTTTTTTGGGGGCGCCAACATTTTATGGTCGGAAATTTGCTCACTTGTGAATTATTGAACTTTTACAATTATTTTGAAATTATTATTTTTTTTTTTTTTTAATAACAGTATCATAAATTAATATTAATGTATTTAATATATTAATATATATTATTAATGTATTTATAGCAATATAGCTATCAGCAATCCAGAATATTATTAATATACCTAATATTAGTTCCCAAATTTGTTGTGACAATGTCAAAAAACATAAGTTATTTATAATAATACGGCGCATTATGTTATCGCATGCGGCGTGCGGTGGTATGCCTACTGGATCGGAAAAAGGAATAGAAAGAGGAAAAAATCGGAACCGATATCTTTCGGAACGCGAAGGAGTTAAAAAACACACAGTTATTATTGGTTAAAATAATCGTTTATTGGCGTCGTACGCGAGCGTAGAGCAGTGAAGATGATTATAGCGCGTGCTTACAGGTGCTCGAGCGCTCAGCACGATTCAACCGGTGGCCATCTACTGTCTGTTACGATAACTGTCCTTGTTGCGGAGGGACGACGGGCCTGGCCGCGAAGCTGTCTGTTTTGGACACCTGTTGTTCGGGCAAGTCGGTCAGTTCCTTGTAGTCGTGCAACAGCACCTCGATGTTTTCGCGCGCCTCCACGAACTCCCGCTTTTCCATACCCTCGCTCTCGTACCAGTGCACGAACGCGCGCTTCCGGAACATCATGTCGAACTTGTGGCACAACGTGGTCCACGCGGTCGCGATGGCCGACGTGTTGGCCATCATGCACACGGCCCGGCCGCCGCCGACCAGCTCGTCATCGGCGCGGCCGGCCACGGCGGCCACGGGGGGCCGGCAGTTGATGCCCACCTTGAAACCGGTCGGGCACCAGTCGACGAACCGCAGCCGCTTGGTCTCGCGGATGTACGATATCGCGTGGTTGATCTCCTTGGCCACCACGTCGCCGCGGTACAACATGCAGCACGCGATGTACCGGCCCTTTGTGTGCGCGTTATCCTCGATCTTGAACAACTGGTTGCACGGCTCGAAGCACGCGGCCGTCAGGTCCATGACGGGCGGCCGCTCGTGCGCGGTGCGCTGCGCCGAAGTAAACGGCGCGTACGCCAGCAGCGGGAAGTGGACGCGCGGGAACGGCACCAGGTTCGTCTGGAACTCGTTGATGTCCACGTTGAGCACGCCCGGGAACCGCAGCGACGCGGTGATGGACGACACCACCTGGCTGACCACGCGGTTCAGGTTGCCGTACGTGGGCCGCTCCACGTCCAGCTTGCCGGCGCTGATGTCGTAGATGGCCTCGTTGTCCACCATGAACGCGCAGTCCGTCGTGTCCAGCGTCTTGTGCGACACCAGCATCGCGTTGTACGGCTCCACGACGGCCGTGGACACGCGCGGCGCCGGGTACACCAGCACCTCCAGGTGGCTCTTCTTCGAGTACATCTGCTTGAGGTTCTCGGCCACCGCGCTGGTCAGCCCCGACCCCGTGCCGCCGCCCATCGAGTGGAACACCATGAAGCCCTGCACGCCGTTGCACGACTCCGCGAACAGCCGCACGCCTTCCATCACCCTATCCACGTACGGGAGACCCTCCGTGTAGTAGCCGCGCGCGTAGTTGTTGGCCGCATCCTCCTTGCCCGATATCAGCTGGTCCGGGTGGTACAGGTTCCGTTCCGCGCCCGTCCGCACCTGGTCCACCACCGTCGGTTCCAGGTCCACCATCACTGTCCGCGGTATGTACTTGCCCGCGGTCGTCTCCTTGTAGAACGTCGAGTGGTCCGCCGGGCACAGCGCGTCGTTCGCCGTTTTCTCCTCCGCCCGGCCGTCCTTGCCGATCCCGTGCTCCGTCCCGTACAGGTTCCACACGGAGTTGCCCATCTGCACGCCAGCCTGTCCGATGTGCACGCTGATCACTTGCCGTTTGGTGTCCATATCGTTGTACGTGTTTTAAGTGCCTCGCGAAGTGTTGTTCGGTGCCGGTCAAAAGCGCTTGCCAAGCGTGTCTCGTGAAACGTTTACGGGTCTTCCTGTGTGTTTCCGCTTAAAGCGACGTGTTGGTTAAAATCGATTTGAAATTTTGTACTTCAGAAATGTGTACTGCTCCACGCGTGTCCTGAGTTGTGAATGGATTCCCGTTGTCCGTTTCTCAATATTGATATTTCATCGAGCCCATTGTTTTCAGCCAACATAATCGCGACCGAACAACATGTATTTTTGTTGTATTATTCAACCAACCGTAATCATTATTGTTTACGGAGGAATATTGATCGGGCGAAACGTTACGATCGGTTATAATTTTTTACCGACTCGAACTTATTTTTTTATCGTTTTTCCGAATCAAAAATGGGTTTCGACTACGAATAAAATGATTTATTACTGACTAATAACTGCATGTAATTAAAATTAAACGTAAATTTATAATTATTTGGTAATGATCAACTTGGATAGGATCTAAAGACCTTGACTCTCCGACTCCTCAAGACTATTAGTTTTCATAAAATTAACAGCATTAAATTTTTTTTATCTAAATCAGACCAAATTAAAAATAAATGAAAATAATTGCAAAATAAAATAAATTATTTTTTAACTCTACATTTTTTAATTTATAATTATTGCATTACAAAATATAATTCCATATTAAGTACCTGCTATAATACGAGGATAAAATTATCTACTATTGGTGTAATACTATTAGTAATATTTACATTTTATATTATAATTAATTATTAATTTTTTTTTAACTATGTTCCTTGTTGTTCATTACTTTTGTCATTTTTAACAAAAATTATTAAAATGTAAAAAATAAATTCTAAAAACGCAAGTAAAAATTTTATTAAATGATAATAGCAATAATAAAAATTATAATATGCCTGTATTAGTTTTAGATTATGTACACTTAAATATATGATAATAAGTAATTTTTAAGTTATTTCTTTATAAAAATACTTTTAATACTAAATTTGACATATTAATAAGTACTTGTTTAAAAATGCAAAGAGCTGAAGATGGGTAAATAAGGAAAACCTTAAAAGTGAAAAGAGAGTGCAGTTAAGGAGGAGGTAGTGGATATTACATAATAATTAGCTGACAAATATAAACTGTATAAACTTAAAAAGCAAAAATCACAGCACAATAAAAAATTATAATTAAATTAATAATTTAGTAAGAAATTAACGTTATTCAGTAAAGGTTTAAATTAAATTGACCAACGATTTCCAAGTAAATAAGAAGTGTTAATGTTTTCACTGAATTATACAACGATTTAGTATAGTTGTATGCAAAATATTAAAAAAAAAAAGAACATTTAGGAAAATTTGAATTATTATTAGTATTTTTTTTTTCAACTAGAAAACATTATTATAATGCACCGCAAAAAAAAAAATTAATTATTGCTGATTAAGGACAGTTACCATAAAAACAGTTGCAGTTGTCCCTTTAATTTACTGTATTTTTATTGTACATTTTTTCGTTATCTGCACTAGGAATTATTTTAAGATCTGAATTTAATATTTTGTTTTTGACATACGACTAAAAATAAACGACAAAACCACTAAAGCGCAAGACGTTTCCCGGTGTCAGTTTAAGGTACTTGGTTACTCGTTGACATCAGACCACCCATTTACGAATATAACTTACGATAAGTCTGTTGCAGGGTTTACTGTAAGGATTTTTATCAATAGCGTAATTATTTTACAAACCCCTATACACATTTTTGCAGTATATAGGTGTATGCAATAGGTATGTATTATGTATACGGTATCTGTTAAAAATTATTTTTATAGTGAGTTTTAATTTATTTTGCATCTAAACTAACCTATATAATAATTATAAATAATAAAATATATTTAGAAATAACACTTTCAATATACTTGTATTTATCTTTTTGATAGTTTTAATAGCTGAAAAATAATAATAAATAATAATAATACAATATTGTACGTATTATATTATATAAAATAATTATATTCTGAGTTTTTAGTAAAATTTTCTCTTTTTTAAACTTTATGGTTTTTTACTTGATTTTTTATGTTATTAGCTTCTTCAGATATGCCATGGTTGTTCTTTCGCATTATTGGTGTTTTATGTTCACATTTTAGTTTCATTTAGCCAGAATTATTGATTTGAAGATTTTATGATCGAATAGTTTTTCAACGCAGCAAAAAGTAATTTTCAATAGCACAAAACTAATTCTTAACAACGCAAATACAGCTCAATCGCGTCTTATAATAAACCCTGATCTGTTGATCGTTCACAAAGAGCGTAAAAAATCTAACAACTGCTTATATTTTACAGTATGGTATACAATTTGGATTGTAGTGATTCAATAAAAGTTATACTTTGATTTTATAACAACATTATATTTTGAATAATGTATATACCTATATATTAATATATATTAAATATATACGTATATTTTATTATATGTATTATTAAATGTTATAAACTTTATAAGTACGTCGAGATCCTTTATAATATAAAGGATCTCGACGTACTTTTTAAACCTAAATTAACATTTAATGCTTATATCCGTTATATAAAGGATAAAGCTTTAAAACTGCTTGGTTTCATACATAGAAGTTGTGTCGATTTCAATGACAAAAACGCTTTTATTTCAATTTATTGTTTATTGGTACGCTCAATTTTTGAATATTTTTCAATTATCTGGTCACCATATAATATTGAATTAATAACTACTCTCAAAAAAGTTCAAAACAAGTTTTTACGGTTTTTAGCTTTTAAGTTGAATATATCTAGAACTTCCCGTATTTCTTACCATCCTTTACTTATCTGAATCTGGAATCCCTTGAACAGCGTAGAATCAAACTTGATTCATATTTTATTTTTAAGTTATTAAATGGCTATATTTAATGTGCTAACCTCTTAACTCATCTGTCATTCAAAGTTTCCTCAGCTCACACCCGATCAACTAACCTATTATGAACTCTGTAAATAATTATAACATTGATCCGTTTTTTTTCTACTTCCTTCTACTCTTATAAAAATCACGTTTCCGCTAAACCATCAGTACATATAACTTGATATGTTTATTTAATATTAATTGTATTTTATTTTTATTTTTTCTGTTGTATTTAAATTTAAATTTAATTTTGTATTTGTTTAATAATATTTTCGAATGATATTTAAATTTAATTCATGTATCGGGTTCTAACCCGTAAATTATTTCAATAAATAAATAAATAAATAAATGAATAAAAAAAATTGTATTATAAATAACATACTTATTACGAGTATATGCCATGAAAATGTTTTGTACAGATTCTTTTTCAATGTACCTTTTTTAAACGTAATAAGTTTTTTTTTTTTTTTAATTCTGAATGAAGCTAGGAATATATTTCAAATTAAAATCAACCAAATGTTATTATAATTAGTAAAATATATTTCTAACGAAACCGTTGTAATGATACATAATTTATATACCTTCCTTGTTGGTTCATTACATTGTACAAATTGAAATTATTACAAATAACTGTTATATTTTATGTTTGTTTAATTCATCTTGTATGAAATGTGACATTTGTTGTTTGAATGAGAAAATGTTCATATAACTCGTTGCATATGTTAAAAGATACTACCATTTTTTTATCATCACCATGAACACAAAGTTTGTCGGATATGAAAACTTTTACACATTAAATATGAAAAAATTATATTAAAAATTAGAGTAGAAATAATGTTAATTTATTTGTATATACGAGTATAGCTATATGCGTATATCTATGATTTTTCGTAGTTATTGTATTTGTTATTGTACTTCGTATCTACTAGTTGGGTGATAAAAAAAAATATGTATTCCACGTTGAAACTAGATTTCTATGTAAGTAAAATCACTTAAATGTAAAATATGGTTTGTAAAATTCGTAAAATAATCAAATAAATAATATAAATAATATACTTATACTAGACCAGGGGTGGCCAACATGTCAATGTACACGAGCCACATGTATTAATAAGATTATATTAAGAGTCAAATTATCTAATCGGTACTTCTATACTACAAAAGTAATTAAGAAAGCTAACAGTTGATAAACATATATATAAATAATTAAGTCAAAATATCGTTAAAATTTGACTAATGATCATCTCACAGAATTACTAAGAACTACTCTTACATCAATTCAACCAGATCTTAAGAAGCTTACTAAAAAAGTGGACATGAAAAAAATACCACGCAAACAAATTTAACTTGATGTTTAATTTTTTAATTTATTATTCATATAAATATTTTTATTTATTTATTTTTTTTTTTTATTAATCTGTTCACTATAACCTCGTATCTATACAATAACATTTTTTTTTTTATAAATGTATACAAAAAAATTAAAATATTTTGGTTTTTGTAAATAAGACCGCGAGCCGCATACGACTATGACGAGAGCCACAATTTGGCCACCCCTGTACTAGACATATCATTATAAAAGTAACTAGCAAAAATTAAATTTTAGGAAACAATTTAATAAATTAATATTATTATTTTTTAGGGTAAATTAAAATTAATTAATTAATTAATAATAAAATAAATTGCTTCCTAAAATTAAATTTTTGCTGTTTACTAGTTACTAGTTAGTAACTAAATATTTTTATTTAAAATTTTTTCATTTAAGAATAAAACTCTTCTTCGACCTGAGTAAATTTTAAGGAGATGTAGTCGAAATATTACCTCTTTTTGATAACTGAAAAATTCCAGCATATTTCTAAAAATCAAATTTGATGATGAGAGAAAACTTTTAGCCAAGTCTCAATTAAACTTTTGTTTAATTATTAAGAATATCTTGATTTTAATTCTGAAAGTATTGTTATAACGCATGATTATAATAAGAAAATAATTTTGAGAGAGGTAAAAACTTTTTTTTTATTTAATTTATGTAACAATGTATTTTTTTAAAAGTAGCAGAAAGCATAAGAGGATAATT